AGTAGTCTGGGCTACATAATGAGACATTGTCTCAAAAACAAAATAAAACAAAACAAACCCCAAACAAACAACAACAACAAAAAACAAGGGTTAGGGATGTAGCTTGCCTGACATGTGCAAGGCACCAGGTTCAGTCCCCATCACTGCAGAGTCCTGGGAGCTCGTGGCTATGGGGAGGACAAAGGGACTGAGTGGGAAGTGATGGAGAGAGTGATGAGGAGTATGTTTATCCTTGGGTCTGTAAGGTGTCTTCCACCTGTGTAACTGAGGGAGATGTTTGTGAGTTCCTTGCTCCCAGTGGGTCAGGTGCTGCAGTGCCTTGCAGGCCTGGGGCAGTGTTTGCGGCTGTGTGGTTCAGGCAAGAGGAAGCAGGAGCTTTGGTGGGGGATGTGTCTTTGTCCAGGAGCTGTTGGCTGTGTGACCATGCCATCGAAGCCTGAGAAAGTCACCCTTCTTGGGGAAGACTTGCTCTGGTTGAGTCCTTAGAGTACAGTGTCTGGCAGGGTCCCATTCAAGGCTGGACTGGTGGGCAGAGGGGTCCATAGGCAGGTCCTAACTGTTTCCAGCCTCTCTGCTCGGGACAAGAGAGTATCAGAAATTCTGAGGAAACGTTTTTTTTCCTTCTGACTTCTGTGAAACGCAGACCTAGAATTCCCTAGGAAACAGCAGGAGGAGGGGGATGTCCTTATCAGAGAGGAGGCTGAGCCTCCATCAACTGGCTGATGATGTGCCTACCTTCACCTGGGGAAGGAGAGGAGCGCTGCCCATTCTGTGGAAGTGGAAGACAGGAGCTGGGGTTTCTTTTGTCTCTTTTTCCTGTTAAAGCAGTAGTATGTGCGCTTCTTACAAAAAATTCAAACCAGACAAAAATAGCCAGTGAAAGAAGTGATAGTTACCTGTAGTTGCACACTACAGAGATAACTACTGTCACTGTGTGTGTGTGTGTGTGTGTGTGTGTGAGATGTGACCAGTTGGGCCAAGTGCACCTGATCTTCATACTCCTGGGCACAGAGGATGTCTTGTGTTGCTGATTCCAGTTTCTCAGGTAGAGCATAGTTGGATTGCCCCACCTCCCAGGGTCCTGTTCTAAATGAGACCTAGTCCAAGTTTGGGGAAAGTGACTAGGGTATGGTCTTTAAAGAACTAAAGGGCCAGGGGGATATGGGCATGGTCAGGCATTCCTATAATCCCAGCTACTAGGGAGTCTGAGAAAGGAGGATCATGGTTTGAGGCCAGCCCAGGCAAAAGTTAGCCAAACTCTGACTCAAAAACAAGTGAGATGTGGTGGTCACACCTGTACTCCCAACTACCCAAGAGACAGAGGTGGAGGATCATTGTCTGAGGCCAGGCCTGAGAAAGTTAGCACAAGACTCTCTCTGAAAAACAACTAAAAGCTAAAAGGACTGGGGGCAGGGCTGAAGTGGTACAGTGCCTGCCTAGCAAACTCAAGGCCCTGAGTTTAAACAACAACAACAACAACAACAACAACAACACAAGTCTTAAAAGGTCAGGCTCAGGATGGGCATTGGTCAGGTAGATCGGGTGTGCAGGTGTGGATGCAGATGGTGGCCCTGCTGTAGACATCCTCATAGGCTTCCCTTCAGTCTGCCCCTGTGTCTCTCCTCGGAGGCACATACCCTCTGAGCACGGTTCTTCACCCACATGCTGTGCCCCGCTCACCCTTCCTAGTGTGTGGGAGGGAAAACTAGCAGCTGAAGCTCACTGCTCAGGTCATCCAGTGTGTCCCCAAGGAGGTGTCAGCAGTAACCCAAGGAGAGTTACCTGAGGGCTTATTCAAGATGGAATCTTCTAAAGGAAGGCATTTAGAGGTGCACCTCCTCAGGGATGAGGGTGAGGGTAGTCTCCTGCAATCCCAGCACCCAGGAGACTGAGGTTGGAGACCATGATGCTGAGAGCAGCCTGAACTACATAGTGAGACCCTGTCTCAAACAACAACAAAACAAACAAACAAACCCAGCACCACCAATTCCTTGTAGTGACTTAATTCTGAACATTTGGATGCATAGGGACTTTTCATACAAAGGATTGCCTACTCCCATCCCCCCATGTCCTCCAGAATCCCACGGAGCTAGTGCTGTGGGGTAGGAGCAGCCCAGTAAAGGACGCCACCTTCCTGCTACTGAGGCATATGTGAATGTATGGTGTGTGTATGCATCAAGGGACTTTGGGCCCTTCAGTGACCAAACTGACCACTTTAGCAGGCTTTTTTCTTTCTCTCTCTCTCTCTCTCTTTTTTTTTTTTTTTTTTGGCCATACAGGGTTTGAACTCAGGTCCTACACCTCGAGCCGCTCCACCAGACCTTTTGTGTAATGGGTTTTTTTGAGATAGAGTCTCACAAGGTATTTGCTCGGGCTGGCCTTGAACCGCTATCCTCCTTATCTCTGCCTCCTGAGTAGCTAGGATTACACGCATGAACCACCAGCACCCGACCTTTTTCTTTCTTTTTTTGTTGCACTCAGGGCCTCACACTTGCTAAGCAGGCACTGTACCACTTGAACCACTCCTCAGCCCAATATTTTTTGACAGTACTGGGCTTTGAACTCAGAGTATTTGCACATGCTAGGCAAGTGCTCTACCACTTCAGCCATATCCCCAGCCCTTACCAGGCTTTCTTATACATTTATTTATTTATTTATTTTTGTGGTACCGGGACTTGAACTCAGGGCCTCTACATTGAGCCACTCTACCAGACCTTTTTGTGTTAGGTAGTTTTTTTTTTCCCCCCCCTTTCCCCCTGGTTAGGTAGTTTTGAGATAGGGTCTTGAGAACTTACTTGCCTGGGCTGGCTTTGAACCTCAATCCTCTGATCTCTGCCTCCTCAGTAGTTAGGGTTACAGGTGTGAGCCACCAGTGCCCGGCTTTCTTATACCTTTAAATTTGAGTGCCTAGATCTACAACTCTAGATTGGCCAGGTACTGGTGACTCAGAATAACCAGATCAAAACCCCATCTCCAAAATGACCAGAACAAAATGGACTGGAGTTGTGGCTCCAGCAGTAGAGCACGTGGTTTGCAAGATGAAGCCCTGAGTTCAAACCCCAGTCCCACCAAATAATAATAAATAAAAATAGAACTCTAGGGGAGTGGAAAGCTTTTCCCTCAGGCACTTGGAGACATTATTCCAGTGTTGCTAATAAGGACTAGATGCTACTCTAATTCCTGATACAGGAGCCTGTTCCCCTGTGTGAAGGCCTTCAGGATTTCCTTTTTTATGCCTAATGAGCATGGATCTTTGTTCATTTTGCTGCATACTTTGTGTGATGGCATTCATGTTCTTCAAGAAAACTTTCTTGTATTATTTCTTTCACAGTTTCCTTCCTAGCAGTGTTCTCTTTTTTAATGAATAGAGTTAATTTTTAGAGCATTATCACATTTACAGAAAAATGTGTGGAAAGTATGTGAGTTCCATATACCCTCTCAGCCTCCGTAGTTTCCTCTGTTTTTAACATCTTGCATTAGTGTAGTACATTTGCTACAACTGATGGGCCAATATCAGTACACTGTTGTTAACTAGTCTATAGTGTACACTAGGATTCACTCTTTATATAGTTTTTTTTTTGTTGTAACAAATGTAAAATGCCATGTCTTCACCATTGTAGTATCATACAGGATGGTTTCCCTGCCTTGAAAAATCCTATGCATTCCTTTCTCCCTCCCTTCAAATCCCTGGCAACCACTGCTCTTTTTATTGTTTTTAGAGTTTTGCCTTTTCCAGAATGCCATAGAGTAGAACCATATAGTGTGTAGCCTTTTCAGACTGACTTCTTTCACTTACGCATTTAAAATATTTCCGTGTCATTTCATGGCTTGATATCTCATGTCTTTTTATCGTTGTATAATATTCCATCATCTGGAAGCATCAGTGTGATTATCCACTCACTTATTGGATAAATGAGCAGCTTCCAGATTTTTTCAATTATAGAGGTGCTGTAAACATTTATTGTAGATTTTTCTTTGTACATAAGTTTTCCCTTCAATAGGATAAATACCAAGAAGCACAGTTGCTCCTTGTACGGCAAGAGTAGGTTTAGCTTTCTAAGAAGCTGCCAGTCCATGCACAAAGACACCTTGTGAAAAGGTCATGTGCATCAGGGGGTCTCTCTGTGTGTCACTGAGGGGTATGTAGTGGGAAGAACATGGGCGTCAATATGATGAGAACCTGGCTGTGAGTCTCCCCAGTCCTTCCCGTGCTTGTTCTTGGGTGTGTTACTTTACCTGAACCTCACCTCTCCTGATCTGTAGAGTGGAGCAGTGTCTGCTCTTCTAGCAGTGCCTTGAGAAGTATGAGGGAGTGGGGGAGAGCCCTCAGGTTGGTTGTACACATGTGCTCAGCAGATGAGGAGCTCCTCCTTCTCCCTGGGTCCCTTGCTTCAGGTATTAGCCATTCTTGTCTGTTCCTGCATCTTACAGAGGTATTCCTGTCAGGATTTGGGGTGAGTCAGCATGTGGGCGAAGGGAGTGCGTGTGCGTGTGTGTGTGTGTGTGTGTGTGTGTGTGTGTGTGTGTACTAGCTTTCCTGGGTTTCTGGCCCTGGGCCTTTGTGTGAGCTGTTCTCTTCTGGTGGCTCAGAGCAGAGCTTCAGCTGGGACTGGCCAGCTGATGTGAAGAGGGGAAAATGTGGGTAGGTGTGTCCACTCTAGAGGCCTAGATACATGGCAATCCCTTCCAGGCCCCATCTCACTCCTTTGAGCCTCATAGTTTCGGATATGGTGGGTATGGGACCTCCAGAGGAAGACAATGGGCAGGAGGGCCATTGCTATCCTGCTGGGTAGCACCTGAAGAGCTTTCTCCACTTAGGATGTGGTTTTCTCCATGATGGAAAAGTTTTGAACAGTTTCTCAGCTATGCCTGTGGCTTGGAAGTCCAGGCTGGTGTCAGAACAGGAGCATGTGGGGAGAGGCTGACAGGGGCTCCTAAAATGTGGAGGGGTTATGTGAGGTGCCTGTGACCAGGGCTCTGCCCACCTTGTCTTTTCACAGGTGGTACAAACTACACTCCAAGGCAGGCAAGAAGGAGAAAGAACGTGGAGAAATCCAAGTCACCATTCAGTTCACTCGCAACAATTTGAGTGCCAGTATGTTTGACCTGTCCATGAAGGACAAGCCAAGGTCCCCCTTTAGCAAGCTCAAGGACAAGGTGAAAGGCAAAAAGAAGTTTGAGCTGGAATCTGCCTCTGCTATCCTCCCAAGCAGTGCCCTAGAGGATCCTGAATTGGGCAGCCTGGGCAAGATGGGCAAAGCCAAAGGCTTCTTCCTCCGTCACAAGCTGCGCAGGTCATCCCTGACCCAGTCCAACACCTCACTGGGCTCTGACAGCACCTTGTCCTCGGCCAGTGGGAGCCTGGCCTACCAAGGCCCAGGTGCTGAGCTCCTTACCCGCTCACCGAGCCGTAGCAGCCGGCTGTCTACAGAAGGGGGTGAGTGAGTAAGGGGTGTATACCCTGGAAAGGGGAGAGAAGGGTGGGCTCCCCCATTCATCATCTAGGTGAGGAATGCCTGGGATTCCTTTTCTCCTCTGCTGACTATGCATGTCTCCTTTTCAGGCAGGGACTCTACGCAGTCCCCCAAGTTGCTCACCCACAAGAGGACCTACAGTGACGAGGCCAGCCAGATGCGCCCAGCTCCTCCCCGGGCCCTTCTTGACCTACAGGGCCATGTTGATGCTGCCTCCCGTTCTTCTCTCTGTGTTAATGGGAGCCATATTTACAATGAGAGCCCCAGGCCCCCTTGCGGCACCGCAGCTCCATCTTGGGCCCAGTCCCACCCTCTAGCTCCCTGCACAGTGCCTCTTCCCGGCGGCCCTCTGAGGAGGGACCTCCATCCTCTGATGACTCCTGGGGCAGAGGCAGCCATGGCACCAGCAGCTCAGACCCAGTGCATGGACAGGAGGAGCTGAGCACTCAGGCCAAAGTGCTGACCGCTGGGGCTAGCCACTCTGGAGAGGAGGAGGGGGCTCGGCCTCCAGAGGGGAAGCCAGTACAGGTTGCCACACCTATGGTGGCCTCTTCTGAGGCTGTGGTGGAGAAGGAGAGCACACGGAAGGAAGAGCGGAAGCCCCGGATGGGCCTCTTCCATCATCACCACCAGGGGCTGAGTTGGAGCGAGATGGGGCGCCGCAGCTCTGTGGGGGAGAAAGGGGGTCCTGCTCTGGGGTCCTCCCCCCACCACTCATCCACTGGGGAGGAAAAGGCCAAGAGTAGCTGGTTTGGCCTGAGAGAATCCAAGGAGCCCACCCAGAAGCCCAGGTAAGTACTTGACAGGCCAAGGAGGCTAGATGTTTGCTGCCTGGAGCCTGGGGCAGGGAGGAGCAGGGAGCAGGCTGCTGGGGCTCTGGCTTTGCATGATTAAGAGGGGATACCCTGTCTCCCTATGCCAAGGCTCGTTCTGTGCACATGGACCAGGTGAGTTGCCAGGGCACAGTGCCCCGAGGGTCCTATAGATGGAAGCCCTGCTGTCCTGGGCCATACCACATGAGTTGGTAGGAGAAAAAGCAGAGGGAAGTCGTTTGTATGGGTTCTTGACTTCCTGACCTCCACCTCTTGCCCTCTGGCCTCAAGGTAAGGAAGCCTTGGCAGGTAGCAGGGTAAGGACTGGGGACGGTATCCTCAGGTGTACCACCCTCTGTGAAGCTTAGATGACTTTCCCTCAGCTGCTGGTTCTGGGGTTTCATCCCTCTTCCTCATCCTCAGTTGCTTCCTAGCTTGACAAGAAGCTGTGGCAGCCCCCTGAAATATTTAACTCCCTCTGTGGAGGCCCTTGGGGCTCTGACCCATTCTGGTGTCTCTTGATCTTGGAGTATAACACTGTCAGAAGTGCTGATGATAACTGCTGTGTTGTGAATGTGCTGAATACCCAGCTTGGGCCTAGACACAGCCCCTAACCACCACCCTGGCCCTTTGCTACCTCCTCACTCTGAGCCAGGGGAGGCTGCTATACATTGTTTGGCAGAACCTAGAGAGCAATGCCAGGGACAGGCCACAGAAGTCTGTGTCCCCTGCCTAAAGGACTAGGGCCAGCTCTGGTTGGACAGAATTGATAGCAGCTAGCTGGTGTGGCAAGGCCAGTTATTCTAGTCGCAGTAGGGACAGGTGAGAAGCTAGGCCCAGTTGGGAAGGGGCAAGAGATAGGGCAGAGGGAAGATCCCACACCTGTGGGAAAAGAGAGGAACACTATAGTTCTGGTTTTTCTCTTTCCCTGTGAAATGCTGAGTGTTGAGAGGAGGAGGAGAGATGTACCTGCTTCCTCCAGAGGTGCGTACAATCTCAATTTTCCTTTTCCTGCTTTTCCATAGCTCCCAACCGCCTTTCAGTTTCTCGAGAATTTGAGTCACTGATGAACAGCAGAGAGATGGGTTTCTGTCCTGCTCCCACTTATATTCTGAGCCTTGTTCTCAGTAGGCTGGAAGGTACAAGGGCCTTCCCTGTGCTCATTTGCACCTGCAGGGCAGAGTCTAGGCCATCATCCATGCAGGGTGGGAGGGGCTGCTCTTCAGGTAACTTGGATGTTGAGCTCCAGTAGCAGCACCCTGACCCTGTGTGCATGTCAGGAAAAGGCTGGCCTGGAAGAAACAATTGCCACTTTCCTGGACTTCTGAGGAGAGAATGGGGTGGAGGGGAGTGGAGCACACTAACAACTCACAGCAGCAGCTGAATGTAGCTGCAGGATCTCCAGCTGGGATGTAGGGAACCTATCTATAGGCCCAGAGGATTGGAATGCCTCTTCCCTAGGGCTACTGCTGCAGATCCCTGGGTTTCCTCTCTAGCAAGGGTAGCGGCGCCCTCTAGTGCCCCGATGTGGCACTGATGCCCCCTGGAGAGGCCTGAAGCAGTGCTGTTAGAGAATGTAGAGGCTGGCAAAGAAGGAATGAGGGCAGGAAGGGCCAAAAAGATGGTCCTCCTGGTCCTTCTGACATGGTACTCATCTGTTGACCCATGGATGTTATAGTAGGCTCCTACCCATTTGTGGCAGAGGGGAAATAGGTAGGCTGAGCCCCATCTAGACCACAAGACGTCCCTGCTTACTGGTGCTGCTGTGAGCCCTTCACCCCAAGCTGTGCTACAGGCTGTTAGTGTGTGCTTGAGGATGCGCAGGGCCACACATTACACCCACCAGTGCCAGGAAAGTGTTGTATTTGTGCCTATATCCAGACCTAACTTTGAGCACAGGAGGGGATCGAATGTGGGTACAAAAATAAATTTAATTGGGGGTAAATATGATAGGACAGAGGGCAAGCACATCGTTACTGTGGCCTTTAGCATCTCTGCGTCTTCCGAGCTCTTTCCTAAATGTGGTTCCAGTGGGTATGGGATGTGCTGTGGCTGTGGAAATCGTGTGAGTCTCAGTGCGTTCTAGGTGGTGGAAATCATACCTGTGATATGTGCCCAGTCACTTAGAGTCAGTGTATCCTTATGTCCCATTTGTGCCTATTTTCCTGGTCTAGTTACTATATCAAGCAGTTTTCTGATTTGGAAGATAGATGATAAAAGTCTCCCTACCTGCAGCTTACAAGGCCCTTCTCTGTCACTGCATTGAATCTCAGTGATGACAGAGGATGTGCCCAGCCTCCTGGACATATTTCCTGGACATGGGGGCACATTTCAGGAGGATGCCTGCTGAAGGGCTCATTGGTTTGGGTAGATGTGCTTTGAAGTCTGACTTTGGCCTTTTGGGGACTGCCTGGTGGAGAGTCTGTGCAGATCCACTTACCGCCTTTGGAACTAATGTGTAGAACAAGACAAGGACATAGAGCTTATCTCAGTCTGAGGAAGCAGTGATGTTGTGAAACCCACCTACCTACAGAGGAGGCTCCAGGATATGGTGTTTAAAGAGGAACATAGGCATGAATAGATGGTTCAACCAATTGTCGCAAGGTTCCTGCAGATCTTAAAGTTTTATTCCCCCAGGTTGAAGGGACAGAGTCATTTAGACTTCTGATTTCTCTCAATATTTGGTCATAAAAGAGAAGAAAAATCAGCATATGTTGTATCTCCTTGCTTGGGGATGGGAGGCTGTGCCATGTTGGCACAGTGGGTTCTAGGACACAGAGGTGCTTATAAACTCTGTTATCAGAGCACAACTTGAAAAAGTGACCATCTGAGGAAATGTGCTTCTCACCTGTGCCAGGTGGATTGGTAGAGAGGGAATGTTTTACATTGAGGACCTTCAGAATGTGTCCTTGGTGTGGAGCAGGGAGAGGACAGACAAAGTGTGGGGGATGGGTACTGCAGTCTAGGATGGATGGATTCTCTCAGGTTCTGCCAGCTCTGAGAAGCCTGCTGCCTGGAGCCCTTTTCTCTAGGGAGAGCCCCTTGCTGATTCCATTCCAACGGGTTCTTGTGCATCTCTTGGGAGCCATGGTGAGGAAGGAGGCTGCCAAGCCAAGCCTGGGGCTGTCAGTCTACTTTTCTGGCACTCTTCTGCCTACAGTGCCAACTGCCAGCACGTTGTTGCAAATCTGTGAGGGTGAGTGTCGGGGGGACCAGGCTGGAGCCAAGCTTGCTGCTCTTTAACACCAATGGGGCTCTCCTCTCAGGCCACTCATCCTGAAGGGGTATGGAGGGAGATAGCTCAGAGTACCTCAGTTCTGTTCCTGGGTTGGGTCTGGGGTTGGTATGAATGTTCTGATAGGGTGCAGGCTGAGGGCAGGGCTGTGACCCACATGGAGGTGGTAGTGTGTTGCTTCTTACTCTCTGGTCCTTGGGGCAGTCATATGGCTTGGTCCTGGGGCCTGCCTGGAATGAAAGAGAAGGGATATTTTCCGGGTCTGGTAGTATGGGCCCAAGGTTCTTCCTCTTTCAGGGTCTCACCATGTCCATAGGAGCAGGACAGTGCTGTGGAGGGTGAGGTGGACAGGAATTTTTACTTACCCTTTTCCTTTATATTTATCTAGGTGGTGGGAATGAGACTGAAAATCCACTCTTGAATGGGGAGTTTTTGCACGGGAAAAATAGAATCACAGGAATCTCTGCAAGCTGGATTCTTAGGAGAAACTATACCTTTGGGAGCTGCCTGTGAGGCTGACATTTCCCCCACCACTGCCCACCCCATATCTGTCTGTGGGAACTACCTTTGTTTCTAGTTGAACTGGACTCCTTCCCATTACCTGTTGGGTTTCTGGAAGAATATGGCAAGCTCTAGCCAGATTGGCTTCTTTGCACAGGTGCTGTCTGACCCAACCTAACTGGCAAGGCTTGACTTCTGCTACCTCAGGGCCGTGCACATTTCCTGTGCAAGAAGATGGTTGAGTGGAAAAGATGGAGGCGTTTACCCAGGGTATTTCCACGTGATCAGGCAGGGGTCAAAGATTGGAGCTCTCAGGAGCTTTGAAAAGGGTCTAGAAGACTGGCAGTGAGAAGGGAGACTGCTAGATAGTTGTGGGTAAGGTCACCAAGACCTGGGCTCAACTGCAGGCCACTGTGAGACTGCTGAAACTGGTGTGTTTGGTCTGTTTTTCTCTCAAACTGTTTTCTGTCCTTCTGTGTCTTGGGGAAGTGAAGGCTCTTGGTGCAGAGACGCCTCTGACATCTCTGAAGTTAAATTTGCTCATAGATCTCACTGGAGATCAGGAGTGCTCCTCCTTCAAAGGATTAGTAGAACCCAGTCTGTTTCAGGAGTCTGAAGTCCAGGTGCCCCACTTGGTTCTCTTAGTGCTGCCTTTGTCCAGCTATACATGTAGGCCTGGCCTTGCCTGGTTCCTTTCTCTCCTCCAAGCCAGCTGGTATTTTCTGTGCTCTCTCTTAGTCCTCAAATGGATGTAAGGTGATTTTTGGAGTTGTTTTTAAAGTGTGAATCTGATGTTGAGTAGACGCTTCAGAATGGGATAGTGGAAAGAACACTTGGTTTAGGTTTGGATCCTGTCTGTAAGATGGGATTACTGCTATCTGGGGTTGGTGTGACAATTAAATTAGCTCTGCCCAGCATCCTTTTCCTTGGGTGGTGTCAGGGTCTTCCCTCTGTGGCCCTGGCCCATATAACACAGCTTATGTGATGTGGCACCTGTTGCCAACGCGGGGGGTGGGGGGGCATGGTACTCAGCAGGGTCATTTCCAGTCTCTGCATTAACCAGGAGGCTCATGGTTTTGTCTCCCTCCACAGCCTGGACGTGTCTCCTCAGGTAGAAACTGACCCAGCTGCTCCTCCTCACCACTTCCCCTGCTCCCCCTGGGCTCCGACCCCCCCCACTCCTGCTCCCACCGCTGCTCCCATGCTAAGCACTAACCTTTTTGCAGCCGCCTCCCCCGCTGCTGCCACTGCTGCTGCCGCCGCCACGGCCCCCGAAGCCACCCCATCTGGATTCGTGGGCGTCACCAACCCATTCCTCACCTCCTTGCAGAGCAACCCCTTCTTCGAGGAGCTCATAGCCGACATAGCACTAAACTTTCCTTCACCTGCTCCCTCTCTCCCCAGTGCCTCGAGGGCCAACCCTGCCCCTCTGGCCTCCCCTAGGAAATCCCTGCCTGAGTGGGACAACAACTTCAACGTCTTTGCTGCTGGCAGGCTGCATCCAGAGGCCAGGAGTGAGAGCCTGGCCCCTGCAAGAGTGGGGCTGGAGGAGGCTGGGCTTCAAGACCCAGGCGGTGGGGCCATGACAGTGAAGGCAGCAGAGCCCCAGGGACATCCTGGGGGAGGAAGAGGTGGGAGCAGCATGTGGCTGGAGCCCGGGGCTCCTCTGGACTCCGGACTGGACCAGCAGAATACAAGTGTATCTGACTCAGGGCCCCTTGGGTATGTAGGGGCTGGGCTGCTCCCTGCGGTCACCCAGCTGCACCTGAGAACTTTGGTCTCAGCAACAGACAGGGAGCTGCCCACTCCAGAAGCAGGAGCCGGGCAGAGTCCAGCAGACAGTGGGACATCTCTGTTCAGTTCCCCAGAAGTGCTCAGTGTATGGGAGAGGCTACCTGCTTCAGATGATGCCTTTGAGAGCCAGGACAAGGAAACCCCTCGAGACGAAAGCCGGCTTTTCCATGAGCTCAATATAGTCGGCGATTCTTGGCCTTGGGATGTGGTCACCGTTTCTCCTACAGCTGAGATGGCCTCACCAGTCCTACGGGGAGAGCCTGATGAGCAGCCTCCCGTCTTGGTACAGCCCAAATCACCAGAAACTGTGAGCCCTAAGGAGAGTGAGGGGCTTTCCCCATTGGAACTGGAACCAGAGCTTGAGTCCACATGGGGGTCGGATGAAGGGCTACGGCCAAGCATGCCACCTCCCAAGCCACCACGCCTCTTCACACCCTCAAATTCTCAGGCAGAGGAGGAGGAAGAGAAGGCTGCAGAGGGCCCGAATAATAGGGGGACAGGACCAAAAGATGCCACCCCAAATGCACTGGTTGTCGTTCTCCAGGAAACCAAGGAGAAGGGTGAGAAGCCTGAGTTGGAGGAGTCTGATAGCCAGTCTTCTGGGACCCTGCTGGGTGAGCCAGGCCTGGAAGAGCTAGTGGAGGATGCTGGTCCCTCTGGGTCCGGGACCCATCCATCTGTGCCCACCAGCTGCCCTGAGGGTTTTGACCCTGTATCCTGTTACTCAGTGAGCTTAGCTCTTCCAAGTCAGCAGAGCTGGGGTGCTCCAGAGAGAGGAGAAGGCCCTAAGATCCACAGCCAGGAGCCAGTAGAAGAGGGGCTTGGGCCTCTCTCAGTCATCCCCCAGCAGGCTGATTCGTGGGCCTTGGAGGAGGATGTGCTGAGCCCTTTCTTGTCTCAAGGGAGCCGAGATCCCCCCAGCCTCCCATCCACATCCCCTCCAGGGTCCAAGGAATCTTCTGTCTACTCTGGTCCAGAAGAGCCACCCCCCACGCCCCCAGAGCCTGCCTTTCCACCGCCCCCTCTCCCACCCTGGGCCAGCCACCGCCATGGGGGGCCTGGTCCTCCATGCTCTCCCTTGTCTGGAGCCTGGCCCCTCACTTCTTCTTCCCCACCACCGGGGGAGGCAGCCTCATCCCCTGGCTCCCTTGAGCCCTCCCCTCCTGGAGGCTCCCCTGCCCCACGTGGGGAGGACCGCGCTGCAGCCACCCCAGCCTCCCCGCTTGTGCTTCTGCCCTTGGAGACACGACCAGCTGAGGAGCCACTGCCCAGTGTCAGGTGAGCGTCCACCCCGAGAACCCTTTCCAGGAGGAGGGGGAGGAAGGGGGCACAGCAACAGAGGGCAAAGGTGGCCACATTCCAACCTCATCCTTGCCAAGGGCAAGTGAGGGTGTCTACCCTGAGGCCAGATGGTTGAATCTTTCTGTAGCTGTCTACATCATGGGACCTTGGACAATCAGGGTGGCCCCACAAGCCAGGGGTTTGGGGAATGTCACTGACAAGGAGCAGCAGGTAAGAAAGGAAGTGTGGGAGAACCCACATGCACTGGAAGGGGAGGGGGATGAGAGTGATGCACACTGTGCAGGGGAGCTGCTCACAGGGGAGTGGAGCTCACCAGAGTGCTGATTTTCCCAGAAGTCCCTGGGGGAACAGGTGGTAGTAAAGTCCTAAGCAGTTTCCTATCCAGTCAGGGTGAGGAAGCAGCCTGGGGAAGCAGAGGGCCAGAGGAGGGACCAGGACTTAGATCAAAGAGCAAGCTGAAGACATGTACAGAAGAAAGAAAGGAATACTCAAACTCTTCCCACATATGCAACCCTCAGAAAAAATGCTCTCCAGCCTCTACAGGTGCTTCACTGGCTTGCCTTTTCATTGGTTTTGTGCCACTCATGGGGTAGGTTCCCAGCAGTTAGGATACCTTTGTGTCTTGGTCTCTGTGGCATTGGGCTGTTGGGAAGATTGAAGAGGCTGAAACCTCACCAGGTAGATAATGAGTGGTGATGAGAGGTGGTGAGCTGGAGTCTTGGGATTGGGGTGTGCTAGGTGTGACTCTGCAGCAGAATTCAGAGGGACAGTAGTGCTCTGGGAGACCTGAGTAAAGGAGGGGTGAGCAGAGGAACTGTCAACTCTGACAAGCAGTGTGGGATGTGGGGAGCTGGTTAGATTCCATCATGGCCTCCGTAAGGCTCCCAGCCTGCTTGAGCACTGACTGGTTCATAGATTCAGTCACTCAAGTTCACTGAGCATCTGCTCTTCTGATCCAAGGAATTCCCAGGCCATGGAAGGCTCCCTTCCAGGGGAGCATAAAGGGAAGGGGAGCTTGATGCAGCTGAGGTGGACCTAGAAGGGAGCCAGTCAAGCCTGCAACTGTCTGCACAGGTCCAGAGCCTGGGAGTGAGGACTAGGCTGGGGCCTGAGAGGTGAGGGAATGTCAAGAAGGAGGAGAGGAGAGAAGGGAGTGCGGTGCAACTAGCAGTTAAGACTGAGAAGAGGTAGCAGTAGCTAGAATGACAGCTGGAGATCTTGGGGCAGGAAGAAGGAGAACAGCTCAGAGGAGGGAATGATGCAAGTGTGGGCTCCATAGATAGGCCGGGGAAGTGAGAAAGTGGGCAGTAATGTAAGCCCACTTGTGGACTGGTGGGGCCAAGGTCCTATTTTAGTGGGTTAAGGAGTCAACACAAGGTAAGAAATCAGACGTGGAATGTAATCTTCATGCTCTTGAGAGGCTCAGCCTGATAATTAGTGGGGGATGACAGGGTGAGAGAGCAAACCTAAGGTCAAGGGGAGGTTTCACAGGTCTGTCTAAATGTACATGGGAAGCTACCAGTAGAGAGATAGGTGACCAAGCCTCTCAGTTTTTCCAGGCCTTTCCTGGTTTAGTGCGAAATTCTCCACATCCTGAGAATCCCCACAGTCCTGGGAAAACTGGGATACCGGGACAGCTGGTCACCCCTAAAGAAAGTGCAAAAGAGGAGAAAGGAGAAAATGGTTGGAGGTGGGTATCCATAGCAGAGACTGGGGTAGAAGTTTATAGGGTAGCCTCTGCTGACCCTGTCAAAGGCCAGGTCTTTCACAGGAAAATGTGGGAGTGAAATGGGGAGGGAACGAATGGTGGGTGGGACGAGAACTGAAGTGTGTGGGGTGCAGCTGTCCTGGAGATCTTGACTGTCCTGCAGACCTGGAGGTTTGAAGGATAAAGGTAGCCCCCCTTTGTCTATGCCACTCTTCTCTCCCCGTAATGCACCTTGTGTCTGTCTCTGCAGTCCCCACCCTGTGAAGCCTCTCAGTGCTGCCCCTGTGGAGAGTAGCCCCGACAGGAAGCAACCCCGGTCCAGTCTTAGCACAGCCCTGAGCAGTGGGCTGGAGAAGCTCAAAACAGTCACATCTGGCAGCATCCAGCCTGTGGCCCCAGCATCTCAGCTTAGCCAGACTTTGGACACCAAGAGGCTGAAGGTAAGGCCCAGCAAGGTATCAGGGGGGATCTGACAGAATAGGTGCTATAAAGAGAGGCCAGGAGTGTCAGGGCAGGGTGGAGCAGGGAGCAGGCCACAGTCTTAAAGCCAGTTAGGCCATCTGTGCCATTAGAGATAGGCAGCTCCAGAGGATTGTGGTGGGGAAACTGGTGTTGGTGGGCAGGCCAGTAGTAGGCCTGGGGTCGTCCTCACTCTCATCCCGTCTCGCGTCAGGATTCTGCTGTTCTGGACCAGTCAGCCAAGTACTACCACCTGACGCATGATGAGCTCATTGGCCTGCTCCTGCAGCGGGAGCGGGAGCTGAGCCAGCGGGACGAACATGTTCAGGAGCTGGAGAGCTACATTGACCGGCTCCTGGTGCGGATCATGGAGACCTCACCCACACTGCTGCAGATCCCTCCTGGTCCCCCAAAATAGCCCTTCCCCTCCGAAGGGTTGGTGAGGACCTGCTGCCTAGACAGGGCCTGTGTGCCCACCTGCCCACCCTCCCTTCATCCCTCCCTCCTGCTGAACACTCTCACTTGGGCAGGGCGCAGCCTGTCCACATGGTCACTCCCTGCCCCCCTCTTCCTCTTGCCTTTACTGGGACTGCTGGAAGGGGGGCCCTTTGGAATCCCATTGAACACATCATAGACCATGTAAAACTCGTGTATCTTTGGGAGCCCTGAGTCTTTCCCACCTGCCTATTTTCATACCCTTTAACTTTGGGGGTTCCAGGGAATTGGAAGAAGAAAGTTGTTAGTTCTCAAGATGGAGCAGGGTTGAGCTGTAGTTTGATGTCATGTCTGAGATGAGACTGTTGGTAGCACAGACTTTATCACCTCCAAAGATGGCCAGTCATTTCTTCCTATGGCCAATCCCTCATCTCTTCATTTCCCTCCAGTGCTTGGAGGCCTCCTAGTATTACTGGGACTGGGACAGGGACCAAGCTACTTGTAAGTCTATGAGTTGCTGGTAATCAGGGCACCTACTCTTCTGCCTTGTGCTCATCCCCTGAGAGCAGGGAGCCCATGTGTTCTTGTCTCCTCCCTGCCATGTCCTGAGTCTATGTCTACTTCAAGCTGTTTGCAGAGCAAGTGTAGTGTGGATGGAGGTGGTGGTGTGTGCTTTGTAACTGCTCCCTGTCCTTCTTTGGACCTTCCCACTGAGTGTCATGGTGACTGTATGGAGGTAGGGCTGGGTCAAGGGAGAACTCTTCCTTGTTCTTAGAGTTTTCACCCACCTCTGACAAGTGGGCCCCTCTAGGTCAGGGCTTTGGGCTGCTTATATTTTTGGGATCAAGCCTCCATATCTGTTCTTATTGTCTGTCCAGATGCCAAAACTCTGCTGCTGTAGGGTTTGAACTTTTGGAAACCAATTAAAATGTGCCTTTTGTGGGCGGGGTCAAGAGCCTCTGGAGGTAGACCTCTCCCAGGCTGTGGCATCTCCTCTTTCCTGTTGAACACATGGGGATGGGGCTGTTAGGGTCCTGGGAAGGGGAATGTGGGTGGGGCTGCTTTGTGCTCTCCCTTTCCCTGAGAGCATCTCAACTAAGGGTCTGGCTAAGCTGCTATTACCCTCTCAATCTTCCTGCCACCTTCCAGTCCTCCCTCAAGCCCATTCAGAGGATCTTATGATAAAAACATCTGGTAGGTAGTAGGCCTGGGGCCACCCTGCTCACTCATTTCACCTGGCCTCAGGTCTCAGCTATGCCACACCAGTCATCTGGTTTGGAAGTGGAAGACCACACTATGCCTTAGGAGATACCTGAACTTAGAATAAAGCCTTTGCTGCTCTCCCAACTATCCACTAAGCTGCTGTCCCAGCCTGTTCCTTCTGCTCCACCACCTTGCCTGGCTTGGCTTCAGTGCACTCTGAAACGAAGTTTGTCTTTTGGCCCAGCCCTTGGATTGCTTGTGAAGAACATGGCAGGTTTCCCCACAGCATTTTCAGATATACTGTGGTGGCTTGGGTATCTTGCATTACAAAAGGCAGCAAGTGAGGAGATGGTGAAGGATGATTTTGGTCCAGTGAGGAGAAAAGAAGCCCCTCTGGGGCTGCTTCTTTATGATAGGCCTATGGACTTTCTCAGAAGGCCACAGGAGGAGATGGTGGTGTCAGTCTTCTGCTAGCATGGAGGAGAGGAGCCCCACACACAGGGGAGAAAGCCCCTGTAGAGTTGCCAAACTTATGTCCACTCAGTTGAAAAAAGTATCCACAGGTGCCCAGATCTTCAGTCATGTTCTGGGGCCCACTGAGGGTTGCAGAGGTGCCCCTCCTTGGGGAGGGAGTCACTACTAGGTATTCCCCTGGCCTCTATTTGGTCCCATCCCTGCCCCTGATCTTCTACCCGTCCTTAAATGGTGGACCTCCCACATGCCCAGGGCAGGGATGTCTTCTGGAAAGGTTTTGAATTGAAACCAAGGGTTCTTATTTGATGTTTCTGCTTCTGGTCACAAGATGGAGAAGAGCCACAGTGGGGTGCGCAGGGATCAGGCACAGTTCTGCTTTGCTGTTTGTCTTCCTAGTTGTAACTCCTGTTTATAAAGAGCTTGTTCTTCATGTTTTGAGCACTTTATGAAGAATAAAAAGTTCACATACTGCAGGTGGTCTGTTGTGTTCCTGTTTTGAAATGAGTGTATGAAGGAGGTTTCCCTTTTGAGAAGGCAGCCTTAAATCAAGGTGGGGTTCTTGGATGACACTGCCCTTACCTTGACATCATAAGGCAGTATCACAGTGTTGCCCCGTCACCTGGACTTAGTCTTTTCCTACTCCCAGGATGCCTGTATTTACTGGGCACCTATAATGGGCATATTTAATGGATACTGTGTGAGTGTGGGGGGGGGGATACAGAGGACAAAAGACTTGATTTCTGTTCTCATGCTACCGAGTCTAGTCTAGATAAGATAAAAATCCAAAATATAAATTGTTTTCCATTGTGACCTAGAATTTCCAGCTTTAGGAAAATTTTGTTTCTTGTGATTCAACCATTAGTGAGTGGATGAAAACTCTCATGCAGTGTCCAGAGAACCATGGGTAAGAAGAAGCCAGTCCTGAACCTCACCACAAGACTAATGAAACCTAAAGTGGGGTTCCCTAGGCTCTAGACCAAGTAATTCTGTCCTATGCGGTGAAACAGGCAGGCCTTCCTCGCAACTGGGTCATTGACCTGATAACTCAGCTGGAAATCTTAAGCTGCTTCATTCTGCAGGAACGTGTTTATTATCTGTGCCAGGGCTTGCACAACAATCTGCACTTAAAGTCCTTGTAAATGGTACTTGATAAACAAAACTGAACCCTATTCTCCACCCCAGGTCTCTCTCACCCAGGAATTAGATCTGGGAGGGATCTTCTTTGGTTGGTCAAAGGGGGTGGGGGCTGTCAGAGCATTCATTTGAATCTGCTGTGTGAGCACTCCTGTGCTTGTACCAAAGACTTAGCAGTGAATCAAAAAATTACAGCCTCTGCTCTGTGGACCTTACAGTAGTAAAGACACATTTATTACCACAGATAGTTATAAATGCAATAGCTACAAAACAGAAGTGCTATGTGATATAAGAGCCTGTAGTGGATTTTGTGGACGTAGGATAGTGGAGTTCGGAAACGCAGTTTTAAGTTGCGGCCAGAAAAAAGAGCCAGTATCAGGCAAAGAAGATTAAGTCTTCTGATTAAGAAATCTCAGGGTTAGAAGATACTCTTCTGAGTATAGAATGTTCAAGTGTCGAGGCAGCTCGAGCCTAATTTGCTCCAGGAAGTGAGCGGCAGGAGGCAGAGTGGCAACAGAAGAAACCGCAGAAAAAATCCGCAGTGCCAGCCCTTGTTGAAAGCCTTCCAAATTAACCCCACTCCGCCTGGAGTCCTTACCCATCTAGTCCCGGGTTGGGACCGCTTATCTTCAGGTCAGGCTCTTGTCCTGGGCTGCAGCCCCACGTGCGACGCCTATGGCTGCAACGCAAACTTCTGGGGTGGGGGGCAGGTAAGCAGCAAGGGGCCGCCCCATGGTCCCGTACCGGGACCTCAAGACAGTGCATGCACGTTCTTCTGGGACTGCCGACTTCTGCAACGCTGGCGGCAGGAATCCAGACTGCGTAGGTGCAACTCTCCGCAGGCTAAGCTTGTCAGGCGCCTAGCTGGGAAAAACCACACTCCCCACAAACCCTTGCGCGCCCCGCTCGCTGCGGTTGCTCACGACCAATCGGGAGAGGCAGCTGTGGCGGGGGCCGAGGAGGGACATTTTAAAAGGGCCGGAGATTGCGGGCATCAGTGGCCATGGCGGATACAGCGACTACAGCATCGGCGGCGGCGGCTAATGCCGCTAATGCCTCTACAGATGCACCTCCTTTCCAGCTGGGCAAACCGCGCTTCCAGCAGGTGAGGACCGGGCTGTGGTCTGCAGGTTGGCGGGTGGCATAGAGAGGGCGAGCAAATTCCCTTTCCAAATCCCCTTTTAGCACTAGGGTCTCCGATCCGCGGCACCGGAGCCTGCAGCTTGTGCCCCGGGGACAACAGCCACAGCCACCCTTTTCTCATTGGTCAGCGGGGCGGCGAGGACTCGCACCTTAGCTCTCTATTGGCCGTTGGCACCGTCAATTTCCGACTGCCCGCACCCTCCAGCCCTTCCCGCCCAAGGCGCTCTGTGATTGGCCATCGCCGGCCGCGGCCCCGGATCCTAGGTACTGGGGTCGAAGCAGCTCCTGCAGGGTCGCTCCGGCTTGTGCAGCTGTCTGCCTGGGTCGTAAAGTTCGAGTCCGGCCCAGAATGAGAAGTTGGCGTGGCTGAGATGCTTTGTAACTTTCCCCCCCGATAGAACTGGCATTCTTTTTGAACCGTTGGCCGAGTGACCGCACAGCACCTGCACCCCGTAGTCACGCCCCTATTCCTCGACCCCAAGCGGGGTTCACAATGCACCGCAGGGTGGGGTGCGGCGGCAGGACGACCTCCATCCTACGACTGGGGATGCGCTGACGCAGCAAGTCTGCCGGCTGGTGCCTTGTGGGGATGGGGTTAGGACGTGAGGGACAACCCGGGTGCGGGGGGAACGCTGTGTCATCTCCTGGGGCCGCTGCCCTCGGTGGGTCCATCGACCCGGAGCCCATCCTGGACCCCCCCTTGCTGCGTCCTCTACCGAAGGTCTCCCGCACCCGGGCCTGTGCGCCGCGGAGCGCTTGTCTCTGTTCAAACCCACTTGGGCTCTTCGGGGAGGCGTGACTGTGGTCCTTTTCTTCCCGGAACCCCGCCAGGGCATCGTTCGGCCCTCGGTCACGGGACTGGAAATCGAGCCCGCAACCAGGAGATGCGGGCCGGGCCTGGGAGCCAGGATCCTGGAAAGGATCGTTCCCACGCCGCAGACCTTCGGGTCCCCCGCTGCCTCAGCGCCAACAAAACGCATTTTATTAGGAAAAGGGCAAAAAAGACTCGGCCCAAGTGATCTGGGGCTTGCCGGGGGTGGGTGGCGGCAGATGCGCCAGAATGAACTTTGAAGGAAGAAAGGAAATGATACAAAGGTCGGTGCAGAGTCTTTTGGGGATGGGGTGGGCGTGGAGGTGGCAGAGCACTGATCTAGTCCCAAGCTTAGCGGATAATTAAGGATTTGAGCTCTTCCTGCGCCTTCTGAGAAAATGTCCCCAGGGTTTTTAAAGGGGACTTTATTCCTTTTAAAAATAGATTGTCTCAGCATGTAGGTTCTGAGGATAGACTGGCATCTTCCTGCTAGTGTAAGATGCCACCTATGGCAAGACTGTCAGGAGTGCTCCTTCCTGGCCCTGAGTGACCCTTCATTGCCCTCTCCCCCATTTTGTTCATCCTTCAGTCAGGGTCAGTTTGTTGGGTCCCTCTCCTCTGGAAAACACTTGCTCCCTTCTCTGATACCATTACCCCCTGTTCCTATTAGTTCAGTAACTCCTTCCTGCAGCCTCTTTGACTAACCCCAGAGGGATTCTTATAGCTCGGACTTTCTGTACAGTCTTCCCTGTGGTCCTCTAACCCGCTGGGTACTTGGTTTCCTCAATCTCATGTAGACTATTTGAGAGAAGAGACTGATTTTGTCCTTCCTTGCCTTCATCTTGACCTGAGGCAGGGTTAGGCTTTTAATATCAGGTTGAGTAAAAACTTCTAGGTTGCTTTTTCCCCTAGAGCTTGTTACCTATCTGGAGCATTCACCCAACAGACGTTTACTTGGTACCTGTTAGTGGCTTTAATCACTGGGCCCTTTGCTGTGATCACTGCTGGAGCCATGGTGGCACATTTGAGGTGACTGGTTTCTTGAAGCCATTCATGGCTGGTACCTGTTTTGGCGTAAAGTTAGTGCAGCAGTGCGCTCCCCTGCACCAGGATAGTGGCCTGTATAAGGCGCAGTGTGTGAGCCACGCGATTCAGTGTGAAGAACTTTTCTTTCCTCCACATCTGCTCCTCCCACACTGCTCCCTGGCTCTGAAAGCAGCTCAGCTTGCCACTCAAGTGCTAGAGTCATAAACCTGGGATTCACTATACTTGCTTTCCCTCACTCTCTAAATATGACCAGAGGCTGTGATCTCACCTCTCAAACAGCCTCTCATATCCGCCATCCCCACTGCCATCTCCACAGCTAGATTCTTAAACTAGCCCCCCTCTTCCATTTCCTGGGTCAGTGTGGAAACCTCCAGACAGGTTTCCCTGTTTCTACTCTGGCTCTTTTCCAATAGTTTCCTCTTCTGGATGGCAGAGGGCAGAATCCCAACTCTGATCCCTACCCCCCCCCCCCCCCCCCCCCATGGTAGCTTTGCCTGCTTCTGAGATAAAGACCTCACCTCTGAAGAGGCTCCAAGTTTTGAGAGCCGACCCCTGCTGATTTTAATCATATCACCCTCCCACCCTTCCCACCCTCCTTCCCACTGCTCTGGCTGCTTTTCAGCTTTTGTACCTACTCTATTCCCTCCCACCTCTGGTCCATCTGCTGGAACATTACCTTTACACTGTCTTCAACTCTTTGTCCTACTCCTTCTCATCCCTAATGTGTGAAGCATCACTCCCTTGGCGGGAGCCTCCTCCCACCTCCAGGTTGAGATTGTTTTGATTGATTGATATTTTACAGTGCTAAAAATGAAATCCAGAGCCTTGCCCATGCTAGGCAAGCTCTCTACCACTGAGCTAACATCCCAATCTTTGCTTTTTTGAGACAGGGTCTCATTCTGTAACTCAGGTTGGTCTGGTCACTGTGTAGACCAGGCTGACATTGAACTCAAGATCCTCCCACCTCCACCTCCCAAGTGCTGGGATTATAGGTGTGTGCCATCATACCCAGCGAAAGCTGAATTTTTGACTTTGTCTCCTTATTACAGAGCACCTGCATCAATGTATTCATTGATTTGGGGTGATTGTTTTACTACCATTTATCTCCCACTTTCAACCATAGTCTCCATGGGATCAGGGACTATGTCTGCTTTGATTTCCTGTTGACTCAGAACAGTATCTGGACTTCAGAGGTGCTTTGTAAAGGTTTGTGAATAAATGAATGTGCTGTGGACACTGCAGTGGGTTTTGTGGACTCAAATTCAATTGATATGCAAAGCTGTGACTGGGGCAGTGGACCAACTTTTATTCAGTTGTCCCTTAGGAATCCTGTAAAATTGCAACCAAGTGGGAACATGGTTGACAGTGCAAGACTCTTTAGCCCTGAGGTCCAGAGTGGGGGCGCTCTGAGGAGGTGAAGTCTAAAAATACAACAGTCTGCCTCATGTATCCTGAGTCTATGAGCATCGTCAGGGCCCAGCCTCCTTTATCTGGGTCCTGTCCTTGGTGGTTGGCATGCAATAGGTGTACAATGAATGCCCACAGGACTCTGCACTGGCCTGACAGAAACCTGGCAAAGAAGGTCCACTCCCAGAGCCAACTCTAGGAACACTACTCTGATTCCCCAACTAGTCTCACTACTTTCTGTAGGATTTAGAACAGAGGTCTTTCCTTGATCTCTGGAGTTACCCCAGAACTCCGCTTCCTTCCCCCCACTCAAGGGTCTTCCTGTACAGGAAGGTGGGTGGAAGAAAAGTGCTGACCAGCTTCAGAGGATAGAGAAAGGGTAATGATTGGGTTTTGGTCTGAGACCATGTTTCTCTCTATAAGATGATGATGATGATGACTGAGCATTGTCCCAACCTGTTTTGCATATTGACTTGTGAAATTTGCACAACTCTGTGAGGCAGATATAATGATCTCCAATTTACAGATGAGAAAACTGCAGTGCACAAACAGATGAAGTAACTTCCTAGGCAGTCTGGCTCCAGAGTCCATGTTTGTTTGTTTGTTTATTGACAACTTTTCTATTCTGGAGGTCTTCAGACATACAAAGTGGTAGCAGTACCTATCACTATGTATCTATCACTCAGCTCGAATAATTACCAATTTAAGGCTAGACTTGTTTCATATGTATACCCCCACTCCCAACTAAGAATTGTTTTGAGGCAAAACCCAAACATCCTGTCATTTAATTGACCTCATAGATATCTTTAAAAATAAGGACTCTTGGGCTGGTGCTGTGGCCAAGTGCCTGCTTCACAAGTATGAAGCCCTGACTTCAAACCCCAATCCCACAAAAAAAAAAAAGACTATTTTGGCTAGTTTTTAAAGTACATGTTTATTATTATTATTATGGAATACTTTTAGATTTACAGAAATTAAAAAATAAAACAAAGAATTCCTGCTAGCCATACTCAGGGTCTCATAATACCATCCCATAGTACTCACAGTATATTTCTCAAAACTAAGAAATCAGTGTTGGCACTTTGCTTTTCACTGCACTCCAGACTTAGTTGAATTTCACTATATATATATTTTTTTACATCAATGTCCCTCTTCTGTTCTAGGATCCCACATTTCATTTAGTTTTCGTGTCTTCTTGGTCTTCCCTAGTTTGTGAGTTTCTCAGACTTTCCTTGTTTTTGATGACCTTGACAGTTTGGGGAGTACTGGTAGGATGTTTTGTAGAATATCCCTCAATTTGGGTTTGCCTAATGGGTTTCCCATGGATAGACTGCACTTACAGGTTTGGGAGTGGGGGGAGAAATTGAAGTACTTCTGCATCTAATCATATCAGATTTTTAAAATTAGTTTTACAATAATCACATACCTGAAATGATTTTTTTTTTTTGAGACAGGGTCTTGCTCCGTAGCCCACGCTGGTCTTGAACTCTGGGTCTTCCTAATCTTAGTCTCCCAAGTTCTGGGATTATAGGCACCACCAGGCCTGGCATGAAATAAATATTTCTCAATAATGTAAAATAACCAGTCACTATTTATAGTTCCCTGAATGCCCTGTGATTTATAAAATTATTAGTTTGCTTGCATTGGGCTCCCTGTTAGTCTCATACATTGCATTTGGTTCATATGTCTCTTTCGAC